GTAATATTTACCTCTTTGCCCAATAAGTATGCAAAAGTTTCACCTTTTTGGGGTGAAATCTGTCTCAGAGGGTTAGGGTGTTTTAGGGCAGGGTAAATGACCTATGGAGATTGCATGCTAAGAAAATCCATATTGTGATCCACAATAAGGGCTCTACCACGACATGTTACTGTTAATGGCTTTCTGGACTCAAACTCAAGCTCCGTCTGTATGTTTAGCAATAATACAGACAACACCTGTCTGTCTGTGTCTGTCTGTCTGAGTACCTTCCTGTTCAGAGTGTCTGTCTGTCTGTCTGTCCGTGTCTGAGTACCTTCCTGTTCAGTGTGTCTGTCTCCCATCAAGTTGTCAGACTGTTCCCCTCTCTGCCCCCCCCATTGCCACCACCCTTGACCCCCCGTCCTATTAGAACCTGTCAGGGTCAGAGGTGACTTTCAAAAGGTCAAGGGTTGTCTGACATGTGAGGTGACGTTGAACACCCCACAGCTGTAAGTGAGCAGCACGCTCTACACAGGTCTTGTGACATGCCTTGCCAGGCTTAATATTAAGCTCTGATGCAGGATATGCAGTACCAGTATTCTCCTCTGAGAGCAGTATGGTGGTATTTCTCCTTTCTTCCTTCTATTTCTGTAGTCGTTCTCAAGATCCAATGCTGCCGTGAGCTAACTACCCCTCCCCCCGCATCCCTGCAGTACTGCTGCCATGAGCTAACTACCGCTCCCCCCGCATCCCTGCAGTACTGCCTGCCGTGAGCTAACTACCCCTCCCCCCGCATCCCTGCAGTACTTCCTGCCGTGAGCTAACTACCGCTCCCCCCGCATCCCTGCAGTACTTCCTGCCGTGAGCTAACTACCCCTCCCCCCCCGCATCCCTGCAGTACTGCCTGCCGTGAGCTAACTACCCCCCCCCCCCCGCATCCCTGCAGTACTGCCTGCCGTGAGCTAACTACCCCTCCCCCCGCATCCCTGCAGTACTGCCTGCCGTGAGCTAACTACCCCTCCCCCCGCATCCCTGCAGTACTGCCTGCCGTGAGCTAACTACCCCTCCCCCCGCATCCCTGCAGTACTGCCTGCCGTGCGCTAACTACCCCTCCCCCGTATCCCTGCAGTACTTCCTGCTGTGAGCTAACTACCCCTCCCCCCGCATCACTGCAGTACTGCTGCCATGAGCTAACCTCTCCACCAACCTCCATTCTCTCCCAATACAGCCGTCTGCTACTATCCCTAACCCTCCTCCCAACCTCTCACAGTCTGCTGTGCCTGTGAATACCGTGACGTTGCACCCTTCCCAACTGTACGTCTGTCTGCCCTTCCCACCACCTCCAGAGGGCTACACCCAGCAATCTCCTGTCCCAAACAGGCTTTAAACCAACACCCAGCCCAGCTGTTAAAAATACAAGGTTGCTGCTACAGTACTCCTCCAAGGCAGAACCCAAACATGGAGCTAAAGAAAACCTCCAGCTAAAACATAACACAAACCCTGCTCCTCCAGCTAAAACATAACACAAACCCTGCTCCTCCAGCTAAAACATAACACAAACCCTGCTCCTCCAGCTAAAACATAACACAAACCCTGCTCCTCCAGCTAACATAAACACAAACCCTGCTCCTCCAGCTAAAACATAACACAAAACCCTGCTCCTCCAGCTAAAACATAACACAAACCCTGCTCCTACAGCTAAAACATAACACAAACCCTGCTCCTACAGCTAAAAACATAACACAAACCCTCTCCTCCAGCTAAAAACATAACACAAACCCTGCTCCTACAGCTAAAACATAACACACAACCCTGCTCCTACAGCTAAAACATAACACAAACCCTGCTCCTACAGCTAAAACATAACACAAACCCTGCTCCTCCAGCTAAAACATAACACAAACCCTGCTCCTCCAGCTAAAACATAACACAAACCCTGCTCCTACAGCTAAAACATAACACAAACCCTGCTCCTCCAGCTAAAACATAACACAAACCCTGCTCCTACAGCTAAAACATAACACAAACCCTGCTCCTCCAGCTAAAACATAACACAAACCCTGCTCCTCCAGCTAAAACATAACACAAACCCTGCTCCTCCAGCTAAAACATAACACAAACCCCTGCTCCTACAGCTAAAACATAACACAAACCCTGCTCCTACAGCTAAAACATAACACAAACCCTGCTCCTACAGCTAAAACATAACACAAACCCTGCTCCTCCAGCTAAAACATAATACAAACCCTGCTCCTACAGCTAAAACATAACACAAACCCTGCTCCTCCAGCTAAAACATAACACAAAACCCTGCTCCTCCAGCTAAAACATAACACAAACCCTGCTCCTACAGCTAAAACATAACACAAACCCAACACAAACCCTGCTCCTACAGCTAAAACATAACACAAACCCTGCTCCTCCAGCTTAAACATAACACAAACCCTGCTCCTACAGCTAAAACAAAACACAAATCCTGCTCCTACAGCTAAAACATAACACCTGCTCCTACAGCTAAAACATAACACAAACCCTGCTCCTACAGCTAAAACATAACACCTGCTCCTACAGCTAAAACATAACACAAACCCTGCTCCTACAGTCTAAAAACATAACACCTGCTCCTACAGCTAAAACATAACACAAACCCTGCTCCTACAGCTAAAACATAACACCTGCTCCTACAGCTAAAACATAACACAAACCCTGCTCCTCCAGCTAAAACATAACGCAAACCCTGCTCCTACAGCTAAAACATAACACAAACCCTGCTCCTACAGCTAAAACATAACACCTGCTCCTACAGCTAAAACATAACACAAACCCTGCTCCTCCAGCTTAAACATAACACAAACCCTGCTCCTACAGCTAAAACAAAACACAAATCCTGCTCCTACAGCTAAAACATAACACCTGCTCCTACAGCTAAAACATAACACAAACCCTGCTCCTACAGCTAAAACATAACACCTGCTCCTACAGCTAAAACATAACACAAACCCTGCTCCTACAGCTAAAACATAACACCTGCTCCTACAGCTAAAACATAACACAAACCCTGCTCCTACAGCTAAACATAACACCTGCTCCTACAGCTAAAACATAACACAACCCTGGCCCTCCAGCTAAAACATAACACAAACCCTGCTCCTCCAGCTTAAAAAACATAACACAAACCCTGCTCCTACATCTAAAACTAACACCTGCTCCTACAGCTAAAACATAACACAAATCCTGCTCCTCCAGCTAAAACATAACACAACCCTGCTCCTACAGCTAAAACATAACACAAACCCTGCTCCTCCAGCTAAAACATAACACAAACCCTGCTCCTACAGCTAAAAC